ATCACGAGCACAATTAATGCCAACAGCCCATAATATAACTGCATTTTATCAAGAATTCATGCATTAAACCAGCTCAGTGATTTTCAATGCTGGTCCTGGGGACCCACTGCTCTGCACATTTTGAATGTCTCCCTTATCTGACACACTCAGCTGAGTTCATGGAGCTCTCACCTAATGAGCTGGTGATCTGAATCAGGTGTCAAAATGGAGACATAAAATGAGCGGAGCGGTGGGTCCCTAAGACCAGGAGTGACTGGTCTATAATATCCCAGTTTTGTTGGAAAATGTTTTATCTTGGTTTTGATGTCTGTTGCTTTAAGCCATTAAAGTGCCACTAATCTGTGTTTGTCTTTTTTCACCTTAGACCTGATGGCGCTGAAAGAAGAGAGTCAAGAATTGAATGAAATGGAAGAGAAATATCAGTATGAGAAATATAATGATTTCATAACTGTTGAAAAATCTTTTAATTGCTCAAAGACACCTAGAAATTATTTCACCCGTTTCAGTGTGGAAAGAGTTTTGATCAACAAGAAAGCCTTGCAGGTCACATTGGAACTCACACTGGAGAGAAGCCTTACACCTGCCAACAGTGTGGTAAAAGTTTCATTCAAAAAGGAAGCCTTGGGAGCCACATGAGAACTCAGTGGAGAGAAGCCCTTCAAATGCCTTCAGTGTGAACAGAGTTTTACACATAAGCCAACCCTTAATGCTCACATGAGAATTCACTCTGGAGCGAAGCCTTACACCTGCAAACTGTGTGGAATAAGTTTCATCCGAAAAGGAAACCTTAAAGTTCACATGAGAATTCACACTAGAGAGAACCTCTACACCTGCCAAGAATGTGGAAAAAGTTTCATTCAAAAAGGAAGCCTTAAAAGCCACATGAGAACTCACACTGGAGAGAGGCCTTGTACCTGCCCTCAGTGTGGACAGAGTTTTACACACAAACCAACCCTTAATGCCCACATGAGAACTCACACTGGAGAGAAGTCCTTCACCTGTGATCAGTGTGGAAAGAGTTTCAGATCTAAAATATCCCTTTATAACCACGTGAGGGTTCACTTGAGAGAGAACTGTTTTTTATGTCATCAGTGTGGAATGAGCTTCACAGACAGGAAACTTCTCAAGAATCATGTAAAAATTCACATCGGAGAGAAGCCTTTTATGTGCCATCACTGTGGAAAGACTTGCACAAACAAAACATTCCTTGGGGTTCACATGAGAATTCACACGGGAGAGAAGCCTTTTACATGTCTTCAGTGTGAGAAGAGTTTCATGTATCAAAGAGATCTAAATCGTCATTTGCAAACTCATTCTGGAAAGAAACTGTAGTGTTCCTCAGTGGGGCAAGAGGTTTAGCAGTTTCAGATTGCTTACTGCGTCACTCTGGATGAAGGCAACTTCGTGTGATCAGTGTAATAAAAAATCTTTTGACGTCAAACAGCAATTCATGCAGATGTGAGTCTATATTTGTGTTCTTTGTGTGAAATGAGTTTTAAAAGGCTTGACAATGTAAAATGGCACCAGAAAATATACATCATTGTGAAAGTAATTTTTACTGTATAGAGTCATAGCTCATACATTTAATGCATGCTCATGTAACAGCTATTTACACATTCATAACCTACACCTAACACTGCTCGGTAATGTCCCAATGTCCCACTCTACTTAAGCAGTGTTAAAGTTAATTAAGTGATTAATTGTTTATTGAGCATTAGTGATGAACACCTGTTAGAACAAGATGGCGCCGCAATTCTTCTGATGTTTTTGTTTGTTTGTTCTGTGTTTTGTCATTTTTCATAAGTTTTACCAGAGACGAACTCCTTAACATTAAGCATCACATTCCAGACAATATTTTTCCGGTGTTTGATTATTCGGACGTTTTGTTGAACATTCTAGTCGGAGGTACACCTGTGTTGTTCAAACGCGTGTACAGACGCAGAAGAGGGACGCGCGCTGGTTAAGCTCCACGCGCGCAGCTTTCGAACTGTGCTCCCAAGCATTCATCTCATGATTGTCCGTTCCTTTCCTAACAAAACGGATTAACTTCTTCTCCTCACCCGCACCAACAAGGACTTTTCAAACTCTGCTGCACTGTGCTTCACTGAAACCTAGAGTTAACGGGGAAAACCAGAGGTGGTGGATTGTGTTTCTACAATGTCCGTTCCTTTCCTAACAAAACGGATTAACTTCTTCTCCTCACCCACACCAACAAGGACTTTTCAAACTCTGCTGCACTGTGCTTCACTGAAACCTAGAGTTAACGGGGAAAACCAGAGGTGGTGGATTGTGTTTCTACATCAACGAAAGTTGGTGTTCAGATGTAACAACGCTGAAAACTAAAACATTTCTGCTTTTGATCCTCTCTGACATCCATTATTTACTCCCAACCTGCTCTTACTTATATTGTGCACAATATATGAAAATCATTTAGGTTAAATATGAAGCAACAATTCCAAATGATGTGATCAAAGAAATGTTTTCTGCAAACATAGACATGGATACACTTTGATCTAGGTCGTAATTTCTGCAGTAAATTATGTTACAATGAGATCAAACAGTTTGAAGGGCTTCTGAGAAATGTTTTAATTAATTTCTGAATATAATGAATAGAGGAGGTATTAGAGGCACTCATAAACTGTAAACCTTTCTACTCGCTGCGGGAGTTTTCCTCTTTCATTCTCGTGAATGTGTACGTGCCTCCGGACGCGTGCGTGAGCGCCGCGATGCAACAGCTGGCCGAACAAATAACTGAAATGGAGCAAAGGTAAATACTCTTTTTTTAATATTTCTTGGGAGATTTTTAACAAATCAAATCTCTCCCGTAAACTGCCAAAATACAAGCAGCACATTACGTGTCCCACCAGAGACAGTAATATATTGGATCACTGTTACACAGCAATAAAGGATGCATATCACTCTGTCCCACGAGCAGCTTTTGTTTGGTTCATCTTATACCAATCTACAGGCAGAAACTGAAATCAGCTAAACCTGTATTAAGGACTGTTAAAAGATGGACTAATGAAGCAGAGCGGGATTTACAAGCCTGCTTCGACCTCACTGATTGGAGTGTTTTTGAAGCTGCAGCCACCGATCTGGACGAGCTCACAGAGACTGCAACTTCATTTATCAGTTTCTGTGAGGATATAAGCATTCCCACCAGGACATTCTTATCATTTAATAATGATAAACCGTGGTTTACTGGGAAACTCAAACAGCTTCGTCACGCCAAAGAGGATGCTTACAGAAGTGGAGATAAAATCTTGTACAACCAGGCCAGGAACAGACTAACAAAGGAGATCAGAGTGGCTAAAAAAAACTACTCAGAAAAGCTGAGAAAAGAGCTTTCAGCAAACGATCCAGCGTCAGTATGGACTGGTCTGAGGAACATCAACATGTACAAGACACCACCCCCACAGCTTGCGGAGAATCAACAATTGGCTGACGATCTGAATGTGTTTTACTGCAGATTTGAAAAGGATCGTCTACCACCCCCCATCCGCTCTGATCTGCACTTCACACCTTCACCTACCACCCCTGCAACCCCCCTCCCTCCCTCCCCCACCATTCAACCTGTGCTTAAGGTCTGTGTAGAGGATGTGAACCGGGTCTTCAGGAAGCAGAAATCTAGAAAAGCTTCAGGCCCAGATGGTGTTTCACCTGCCTGTTTAAAAGTCTGCGCTGACCAACTGGCCCCCATCTTCACACAGATCTTCAACAGATCATTGGAGCTGTGTGAAGTTCCCTGCTGCTTCAAACGCTCCACCATCATGCCCAAAATCACTGGACTTTTTATTGATTACAGACCTGTCGCTCTCACGTCTGTGGTCATGAAGTCACTTGAGAGACTGGTGTTGGCCTACCTGAAGGACATCACTAGACCCTTGCTGGATCCTCTTCAGTTTGCCTACAGAGCAAACAGGTCTGTGGATGATGCAGTCAACAAACAACTGGCTGACGATCTGAATGTGTTTTACTGCCAGTTTGAAAAGCCCAGTCTCACACCTGCTCTGATCTGCACTTCACACATTCACCTACCCCCCCGCAACCCCCCTCCCTCACCATTTAACCTGTGCTTAAGGTCTGTGTAGAGGTTGTGAACCGGGTTTTCAGGAAGCAGAAATCTAGGAAAGCTTCAGGCCTAGACAGTGTTTCACCTGCCTGTTTAAAAGTCTGCGCTGACCAACTGGCCCCCATCTTTACACAGATCTTCAACAGATCTCTGGAGCTGTGTGAAGTTCCCTGCTGCTTCAAACGCTCCACCATCATTCCGGTCCCCAAAAAGCCCAAAATCACTGGACTTAACGACTACAGACCTGTCGCTCTCACATCTGTGGTCATGAAGTCACTTGAGAGACTGGTCCTGGCCTACCTGAAGGACATCACTAGACCCTTGCTGGATCCTCTTCAGTTTGCCTACAGAGCAAACAGGTCTGTGGATGATGCAGTCAACATGGGACTGCATTACATCCTGCAACACCTCGACAGACCTGGGAATTACGCAAGGATCCTATTTGTGGACTTCAGTTCGGCCTTCAATACCATCATGCCTGACCTTCTCTCAGACAAACTCGCCCAGCTCTCCGTGCCCACCTCCATCTGTCAGTGGATCACCAGCTTCCTGACAGACAGGCAGCAGCTAGTGAGGCTGGGCAAACTCACATCCAGGACTATCACCATCAGCACTGGCGTCCCCCAGGGATGTGTACTCTCCCCACTGCTCTTCTCTCTCTACACGAATGACTGCACCTCTAAAGACCCCTCTGTCAAGCTCCTGAAGTTCGCAGACGACACTACAGTCATCGGCCTCATCAAGGACGGAGACGAGTCTGCTTACAGACAGGAGGTTAATGGGTCACATTTAATTAACTCGCACCCCAGTGCTTCCCACAGGTTTGAAATATACTTGCGGTGGTAGCCGGGTAGAAAATCCTCCTATTACCCACAAAAATGGTCTACTAGATGTGACAAATAATGTGTGAGTTTTAACAATATTTTTTATTTATTGATATTTATTTTAATAACGTAGGCTACTATTACATACTCATATCATGCACTGTAAATTATGCTAAATGTCAGCATTTAAATGGTAGAGTTGTCCTTGCTTTATCTTATAGTATCTCTCTCAGTGAATGGGACACAGATTTGACTGATACTGGTAAAATCTATATATTGAATAATATGTGACAAATAATGTTTTGACTTTTCTTCCTGTGGGGAAGCATCCCAGCCAGAAACTACAATACTTTACTATGAATTAAATGGAAATTAAATTAAATACAATTTATTGTCTAACCAAAATACCAATAATGCTCAGTGGCCTGTTGCACGAAGCGAGATGAACAAACTCAGAGTTGCAGAGTAGGCCTGAAACTCGAATTCGAATCCTCGAATACCTCGAGTAACTCGAATACAAAAAATCATCGAGGCAAATAAGCTTCGTTTAGTCCATTTACTGTAACTACACACGGAACACCGTGTTTCCTCACGGACCATTATTACTGACGCACAACCCGATAAACGCTGGACCATTGACTGTAAAAAAAGCGCTGGACATATTTAAGACCGTAAATCAATATGGTGGCTAGTCATGATGTCCTTACGTTAGCTATATTTTGTGAAAAACTAAACGCCATTGTGCATAAAAATACCACAGAAAGGAAGTTAGTCAATATTAGAGAATATTTTTTAGACACTCTAAAAAATAGTGCCAGTTTTCACCTCTAAAATCAGCATGATTACAAATGTGATTTTATTCAACAGTTCAATAAACATTAAGAGACTTACGTTTTAGACACTATATTGTCTGTTTTTGCTTTATTTTGCCAACAAAAAAAAATTCCAGACACAGCCACAGTGCTGTTTTGCGTCTCTGAGCAACAGGACGGTAAAAGATGAATTTTGATACTGATATCATTTGTTTGGTAACTTCCCAAATGTCTATTATTCTGATTGACTGATTAAATGTAAGAATCTGACTCAAAAGATGATGCACAAAGGCTTTATAAAGGTAAAAATGGCCATAAAATGTAAAAATCAATTTAAACTTATTGGAACAGATTAATTTCTATCACTGCTTTGAACTGACCTACACACAGAATATGAAGGATATCAAAAAAACACACACACACACACACACAGGTTTGTTTTTGTGAAAAGTGGGGACATCTACATTTTCTACTGTACAGACCGTATATTCTATTGCCCTACACCAACCCTACCCCTAAACGTACCCCTCACAGGAAACTTTGTGCTATTTCAGATTTTCAATACACTCCATTCTGTGTGATTTATATGCGTTTTGAAAAGTGGGGACATGGGGTAATGTCCTGAAAAGTCACCTTCTCCTTGTAATACCTATGTCACACCCTTTGTCATTATACAAATTTATGTCCTCATTTGTCACAAAAACGCGCACACACATACACACACCAGTACGTAAAGGGACATTTAAGAGGGTTTATTCTCCAAATAACACTAATTTCATGTTGTAGAAAAATGTGTTTAAAAATTGTGTATGGTCTTTTGTTCTTGTTCCAAGTTACCTTCCTGTCCACTGAATTTTGCCTCTCACAAAGCCTTCCAAGAAGACAGTAAAGGCTTATGTTATGCTTGAGCTTTAGTTAGGCTGAAACTTGAAAGTTAAGTTGCACAACATAAATGCAATGTTTAGGTATTATTATTATTTTTATGACTATTATTTTGATTTATGCCTTAGTTTTAGTTTGTACTGTTTACCTTTTTTAAAGTGATGTAAAATTGATTTTTGTATTTTTATTTATTTATTGATATATTTGTATTTGCATTTTGAATGTAATTTGGCAATTAAATGGGTTTAGTTTTCACGGGTTTTAATGTGTGCAATTTCAGCAATAAAAATGTAAATTTTTCTAAAAAGAAAACAAATTAGTTGTTTATTTTAAGAGAACTATCTTATTATCTCTTGTATATTTAGTATTGCTCTTTAATAAAGAAAAATGACTTCTTATCCGATTACTCGATGGAATAATCTGTAGAATACTCGATTACTAAAATAATCAATAGCTACAGCCCTAATGCAGAGTAAGTTTTGAGTTGACAAAACCCTATAAAGCCAACCTGGTTAAAGGGATAGTTCACCCAAAAATTAAAATTCTGTTTCATTAAAAAATGAAAGAACTGTCATCATTTACTCACCCTCATGTCGTTCCAAAGCTGTATGAGTTGCTTTCTTATTTTGAACACAAAAGAAGATATTCTGAAGATTGCTGGTAATCAAACAGTTGGTGGTTGCCATTGACTTCCATAGTATTTATTTTTTCCTACTATGGAAGTCAATGGCAACCACCAACTGTTTGAATAAACACTTCTGCTGCAGCAAAAGTTTGGCAGCAGAAAGAAAATATATGTCAAAAAAGGTTTAAAATAATAAAAAAATATTTGTACCGAAAAGTGTGCGTTCAGTGCTGTTCGCGAGAGTCACAACAGCAAACTGATAACGTAGAGCTAATAAACTCAGATTCAAGCTGCCTCTACGCACCCCTCCTGGACCCACGAGGACAGCAGCGTGCATGCATGGGGAAGAGACCGGTCTCCCGAGGAGAGGCGTACTCGGCATTTAAACAGCGGCGGTGATGAGGCTCCATTCGGTTCAGGTGTGCCCCATCACACGCCGCCAGCCCTCTAGTCTTCTACAGACGCTACAATCCATCACGCTCCCTAAGGTCGTAAAACTCTGGACTTTTGGTAGTACCTAGGATAGCAAAGTCCACTAAAGGAGGTAGAGCTTTTTTGCATTTGGCTCCCAAACTCTGGAATAGCCTTCCTGATAATGTTCAGGGTTCAGACACACTCTCTCTGTTTAAATCTAGATTAAAGACACATCTCTTTGGCCAAGCATTCAAATAATGCATCTCAATCTTGTACTGCAGTTATATCTGATCAAATGCACATTATTATTCCTTAGATTGGGTTGAACAAATAATTTTTGCTTGGATTGAACAGCAGCTATGCTAATTATGTCTCTATTTATTTCTCTGTTTTTGTAACTAGGATTTACACAAGCTTCAGTCTGGATCCAGAACACCTGAGAAGAGATGATGCCAACCCCTCAGAGGACCTCAGATGATGCCAACCCTGAAACAACATACAGAACTACCACATTTTGCTATAAGTTTGATTGCATCATATAATAATTGCTGTTAAGTTATTTTGTAGAAACTTAATTTCCTATTAAGTTATCCTATCCGATTTGTATCGTGAAAAGCGCTATACAAATAAACTTGAATTTTAAAAAATTGAATTGAATTATAATTACATGCTGTAATAGACAGAGAAGCTTCTCTCTGTTTATGGACCATTTTTACAGTTTTATGCCATTCATCTTTGCGCAAGACATTTTCTGCAAAATCTGACCCAACAGCTCAAATAATAAATAAAAACGAGGTGACAGTTTTATGTACTTGCTCAATAATTTAATTTTGTTCAATTTTAACAACAACAAGCTCCCTTTTAAAAACAAGGGAAGCCAGAGACTGTTCCCTAACAAAATATACTATATTAAATGGACCAATACCAGAGCTGAAAACTGTCCATATCTTGAAGAATGCATAGGATTTACAAAACAGTTTGCCCATTCTTCCATTCCTGATCAAAAGGAAGATTTAAATTTAAAAAAAATGTAAAACACATTTCACACTGAATACACATTTAAGGTCTCTCTCCAGTGTGAAGCCTCATGTGAAGCTTAAGGTTTCCTTTACGTTTGCAACTCTTTCCACACATTGGGCAGGTGAAAGGCCTTTCTTCACTGTGAACGCTCATGTGAGTCTGAAGGGATGCTTTCAATTTGAAACTCTGTCCACACTCAAGGCAGACGAAAGGCTTCTCTCCTGTGTGAATTATCATGTGAACCTTAAAAGTTATTTTGTTTGTGAAACCCTTTCCACAGTGAGCGCACTTGTAAGGCTTCTCTCCAGTGTGAGTTATTATGTGAAACTCCTTCCACTGAAACTCCTTCCACACTGACGACATATAAAACGCTCCCGTCTCGAATGAATCTTCTTGTGATTTTTAATGGTTGCTTTGTGTCTGAAGCGCTTTCCACACTGATCACATGAAAATGGCTTTTCACCAGTGTGACTGTTCATGTGATAGTCAAGGTTTAGTTGTGCTGAGAAGCTCTTTCTACACAGTTCACAACTGTAAGGCTTCTCTCCGGTGTGAACTCTCATGTGTCCAACAAAGCTTCCCTGCTGAGTGAAACTGTTTCCACACTGAGGGCAGGTGAAAGGCTTCTCTCCAGTGTGAACCCTCATGTGGACGGCAAGGTTTCTTTGATTGCTTATCCACTTTCCACACTCTGAGCAGATGACACGTTTTCTAATTCGAGTCTTTTGAGGGTTTTTTTTGCGACGGAGTCTCTTCAGTCTGTGAACAACTAAAAGATTTTTCTTCAGTACTGAAATCATGATTCTTAGACCGATCTTTACTCTCCTCTATCAGCGCCATCAGGTCTAGGATGAAAAGAGACAAATGCAAGTTAAACCCTGTTTAAAAGCAACAGAAGGAAAGAGCGCAACAATGACCCTGCCATTTATTAAGGAGTGTCAAACTCCGCGTGTGGAGGGACACAGTCCTGCAGAGTTTAGATCCAACCTGCTTGTAGTTTTCAAGTAATTTTGAAGACCTTGATTCAATTAGAGTTTGAGCTAAACTCTGCAGATTTGTGACATCCCTGGTCTAAAATACATTTAAAAAATTGTCCTTTCAACAATGCTGAAAAATTGTACTTGTGAACAATACCAGTCAGGATCTAAGCCCCATTGTAAAACAGTATCTGTGCTTACTAAAGTTATATTTTTCCAAAGCTATGCATAGATCACAACATTCTCATGGATAGCTTGAGAGTTACATAGGCATTTGTGGACAAGAAATTAATATGGTTTATGTCCTAATATGTTTATGACCACTTTGTTTGTGTAAATGAAGAGAGTCATCAAACTCAAGTATGGAGTGCCACAAGGCTCAGTATTGGGCCCTCTGCTTTTCTCCTTGTATATGTTTTCCCTGAGAGACATTATAATTATATTTCACTGTTACACCAATGACACACAGTTTGGGATTTCCTCTCAGCTTGAAGAAACACAAATTTCCAAGTTAACAGTGTATTAAAAATATCAAATATGACATGGCTGGTAATTTCCTTGTACTAAATTCTTTCTTTGGACTAAATTCTAAAATTTGATTCATCACACAGCCCTACCGCAGCTCATGTTGAACTTTTTCAAACGTGTCACCATACATGAAAGACACCTAATAAGAGACGCGTGATTTAATTTGGCCAGTCACTGCTGTGGTTTTAACATTATTATGAGTTTGTCTTGTATACGCAAGCATATACAGTAGCACAACTTACAAATAAACTCTAAAGTGAGAATTAATCATTCTTTCTAGACAAATCGGTCAGTCACTCCTGCTTTACAGCAAGTGGCACTCGTGCTTATGGCAATTGCATTTCACCGTCTTTGTTATTTCGGCAAATCAGATTTGGCGAATGCAAATTAAGTGATTATTGTTCATCCAGCCTCACAAGAAAACATGCAATCTGAGGGAAGACATGATCACAAAGGCAAGTCGTGTTTCACTATTGTAAGTTAATACTGTTAAATATATATATATATATATATATATTTAAAAAAAAAAACATTTTACATTTAAGTAACCTAAAGCGTACTTTTAACCGTGGACCTCATTTTTGAAACACAAAATGATCAATGAAGTCTCAAGCACCAAAAGCACTAGTTCTCCGACTTCTCTTTAATTGAAAAATATGCCTTTTCATTCATTCATGGTTGCAATATTTTAGTTCAAATTTTGAAGTACTATTGTTTAAAAATGCTGTATTGACTGACGTTTTGTAGACGTTCAGTTGTTATGCTTTCAGATGTTTTGCCATTAGTATGTATCTTCAATGACATCTATCCACTGTGTACAAATGTAGAACGTCCGTATTTAATTATTGGCAGCTGTAATAGTACACGCATAGGAACTGATCCCATATGCAAAGATGATAATTACAGACAGTTGATCAGTCATATTTTCATGGTTTGCCTATTAAAACTTTTTATTAGTTGCATACTTAAGTCATAGAATTTTTTTTTTTAATTGTTTTAGACAAAAAGGACATTTTAGATTTAATGTTACACTCCATCATTGATTTGTTTGGGCTACTTCTCTATTATTTTTTCCTAAATAATAGTCACGTGATCTCAACATGTTGTAATGTGGTGTTTTGGGTTGTGTTTCTTGTTCATGTTTTCATGTCTTTTATTTTGGAGTTTAGTCATGGTCCCTGTTTGTGTCATGCTTCCCTTGCCCTCATGTATTCATGCCATTGGTTCCTCTGTTCATTGTGTC